GGTCAAATGCCTTAGGCACTACGCAACCAGAGCTCTTGCTTTTTCACCAAGCACATTCATTTCTGTTATTGCTATTAAAAGTATCTTTCTAAAACCTCCTTTTAACACTAAGCAGCAGTATTAATTCTTTCTACTCAGTACAAAACAATTATTCATAGAACGGTAATTACAGAAACAAAAAAGATAGGAGAAATACTTTAGGACATTTACCAAATAAGGCAACTGGTCAAAGTTCCTCAGCTCATCTGTAACAGAGGTGGTTTAGAACATGTGCCTTCTGACTCAATCAGTGTAGAAGGCTAGCTTCAAAAGACTTATAAGAGACAGCGTTTCCTGAAGTAGGTTTCTCAGGAATTTTAGTTCCAGGATGTTAATAGCTGTTAAGGTTGGTGAGAGAGGAGTTTCCTAAAAACCAATCATCAAATTAACCCAAGCAAACAGGACTTCTTAGAATCTTTAATATTTATAGCTCCTTGGGTAGATTCAAAGGACACCACCCATATTCACTAGTCTTTCCCAAACATTTTTATCATGAATTTTTTTCCCCCCAAGCATCTTATAGGTAAAGCGCTTCATGAAATACATTTGGGAAAATGTAAAACTCAATATGTGCACAGCAAATTATTTCTGACTTTTAAGTTTTAGTACATTTGTTCTCTTGTTTGTTTATATGTGTACCAATGTACACACAAAGCCATAAATATGAACCAATATGAATTAATTAGTGATATACCACAGAAACTAAATTTACAGTCTGTAATATATAACAAAGACTTTAAAAATTAGGGTGGGTTTAACATTTGAAATAGCTTCTATAAAACAGAAGGAATAGAAGTCAGATGCATTTAGTAAGCTGGAGACAAAGTAGACAGTCACACAGATTATGTTAAAACATCAGTAGAATTCTTGACTTTGGTTCAGCTGCTCTGGAACCACAGTCAACAGATGAGTGATACAGTCAAGAAAGAACAGTAGAAATTGTTGGTAAAAATATAAATAAGGTGAAGAAAGATCAAGATATGAATATATGGAAGTGAGAAAGCATGTAAGATCACAGAACTTAGTGCAAATGTAAGAACTGTCTTTATTCTGGGGGAAAAAAAAATCAAACTCACTGCCGTGGAGCTGACTCTGACTCAGTGACCCCTCGTTGGGTTTCCGAGGCAGTATGTCTATGGAAATAGATTACTCAGTCTTCCTTCCGAGGAGTGGCTGGTGGGTTTGAACCACCAGCCTTCTGGTTAGCAGTCAAACGCCTTAGGTACTGGCCACCAGAGTTCCCTGAGAACCCTGAATTACAGCCTGTCTTAAAGGGACTCCTTAAACTAAGAAGAGGGAGTTCTTTCTGTTTCTGCCAGTGTACTTTAAAACCACAGGAATGAGAGCTTCTCAGGTTCCCTGAGGAATTCACTGTTCCTGAGCCTGTGGGACTCAGGCTGTTGTTGAACAATGCACCTGGACCTTTCTCTGCACACAAACCTTGCCCTAGTGTAGGTATGTGGCAGCTCTGCAGCCAGCTGGTTTTCACAAAGCCCCAAAGTCAGAGCAGCCGGCTGAGGCCCATCACAGACTTTTATTACAGAGGTTCAGACCTCTGCAGGTGGACTGATCAATAGATTGAGTCAATATGGCAAACTCTGTCCTGCTGAGGAAGCAGCTTCTGCAACCTCCATGAAATGCAGGATTTCTGCCTTCTGCAGGGAGGGATTATCTTGTTACTTTTAAAAAGACGGCTCATATTATTAAAAATGAATGGGGATTTCCTCCCACAAAACCTAAGATGGCCTAACTACAAACAATATTTTAACACCCATGTGAGTGTTTTAAGAGCTTTTAAGGGATGAGGTAGGTAATTCTTCCCACTTTACAAGTGGAGAAACATCAGTATTATACAACACTGAAGGAATTCTAATGGCAGCTGAGATTAAGTCTGAGGTGAGAATTTTCTAAAAGCACAAAGTGGTTTCCTCAATCAATCTTGGCTTATGTTTTAGATGTTGTGGCTTAAGGAAAGAGAGAGCCAAAGAAATAAACAATGTGAAGAAAGAAAATGTGGTGATATGAGAGGAAGGGGTGGGGTGTCTATTTTCTCTCATCCCCCTTCAAGCACTCCCCTCCTACTTGAAAATTTTTTAACCCATTTTCCTTTCAAAACAATGAGCAATACATAAAAAGTAAAATAAAATAGCAGAAAGAAGTTAATAACCATTTATAATCCCACCTTTTATCAGTAAAATGTGGATGTACACTCTTCCAGACTTTTTACTATGACTGTATATATTAGAAGGAGCTCTGATGGTATAGTGTCTAAGGCATTTGACTGCTAACCAGAAGGCTGGTGGTTCAATCAAACCTACCAGCCACTTCATGGAAGGAAGACTGGGCAATCTACTTCCGTAAAGATTTACTGCCTCAAAACCCAAAGGGGGTCGTTATGAGTCAGAATCAACTTGATAGCAGTGAGTTTGGTTTGGTTTTTGGTACATGTCAGAAGTATATAGTTTCTTTTGTTCAAAAAAAAAAAAGAATTGTTTAGTTACATATATTGTTTCGTAACCTCATATTTTCACGTAATGCTATATTATGAACCTTTCTATGTCAATAAAAAATCATCTTGACCATATTGTCTGTGATGGCAGTGAAACACTAGGTTAGGAGAGAAGACTCTGGGATCAAGTGGGTTAGGGTTCAAGTTCCAGGTTGGTGTTTTGTAGCCATTTGACTCTCGGAGGTCCCTTAGCTTCTCTAAGCCTCAGGTTTCTTATCTGTATGATAAAATCAAACACCAAACTCATTGCCATCAAGTCAATTCTGACTCACAGTGATGCCCATTGGGTTTCCAAGGCAGTGAATCTTTATGGAAGTAGATTGCCCCATCTTCCTTCTGCAGGGCGGCTAGTGGATTTGAACTACCAGCCTTCTCGTTAGCCATCAAATGCCTTAGACACTATGCCACCAGAGCTCCTATCTGTATGATAGAGGTTATAATAATACCTACTTCATGGGTTGTTGCTAAAATTAAATAAACAATGCATGTACAAATACCTCCATGATAGCTATGTGTTCAGTATAAAGTAGTTATTATTTTTATTAGTATTGTGATTATTGAATACTCTATATATGATTAAATTGCATTAAAAAATCCAATTCCCTATTTATGTTATTTCTAACTTTTTAAAAGCTTTTTATTTAGAAATAATTATAGATTCACAGGAAGTTGCAAAAATAATACAGAGAAGCCCCTTGTGCCCTATATGCAGTTTCTCCCAACGGTGACATCTTACATAATAGCAAAACCAGAAAGGTGACATTGCTATCATCTACAGATCTTTTTCAGTTTTCACCAGCTTTAGATGCACTAATTTGTATGCGTGTGCGTACAGTGTTCAGTGCAATCTGAATACATGTGTGGATTCATATAACCATCCCTACAATCAAAATATTTTCCATCACCACAAAGATCCCTTGTGTGATCCCCTTATAGTCATACCCATGCCTCTTCCTTTTCCCTCCTCCTCTTCCCTAATCTCCAGCAACAATTAATCTCACCACTAGCTCTATAATATTGTCTTTTTAAGAATGAAAATACAGTATATAACCTTTAGAGATGGGCTATTTTCAATTAGCATAATGCTCTTAAGGTCCATCCAAGTTTCTTCATGTATTAATAGTTCCTTTCTTTTTACAGCTGAGTAGTATTCCTTCCATTGTATGGATGAACACAGTCTGCTCAACCACTCACCTTTTGAAGGACATCTGAGTTGTTTCTAGCATATTGTTGTTGCAAATAAAACCGCTCTGAACCCTTGTGTATTAGGTTTTGTCTGGACCTATATTTTCATTTTCTGGGATAAATGTGCAAGAGTGCACCTGCTGGGTTAGATGCTTGGTTTTACATTTAAAAAAAAACAAAAAAAACTGCCAAACTATTTTCCAGAGAACCTGTACCATTTTACATTCCTAGCAGTAATGTACAAAACATGAAGTTTCTCTGCATCCTCACAAGCATCTGATACTTTCAGTATTTTTTAATTTAGCTGTGTTAATAATTTTATAGTGATATATTATCATGGTTTTAATTTGTGCTTCCCTAATGGTTAATGAGGAGCTCTGGTTGTGTAGTGGTTAAGATATTTGGCTAACAACCAAAAAGTCAGTGGTTCGAACCCACCAGCTGTTCTGCAGAAGAAAGATGAGATACTCTATTTCTGTAAAGATTTATAGCCTTGGAAACCCAATGAGGGTTGCTATAAGTCGGAATCGACTCAATGACAGTGAGTTTGGTTTGTTTTTTAATGGTTAATGATGTTGAACATCTATTTTTTATATGATGGACAATGTTACCATGGATACCATTATTTGGATGAATTTTCAGCTTTTAATGAATTCCTACCAATGAATCCCTCAAAGTGGAATTAATTGCTGGAGGGACAGATTAAAGAAAAAAAGTTGAAACATAATATCAAATTGCCCTCCAGAAAAGTATTGATTTACACTCCCCTCAGCAGCATACGAATGGTTCAACTTTTAAAGTATACTTAACACTCTCACGACCTCCCCCAAGGAGTTAAAATAAAACTTCTGGTCAGCATGCTCCCCACTACCAAGCAAGTAAATTAAAATAGAAATGGAAGTTGCCTAATATCTTACTAGAGCGGAAAATGAACCAATATGACACTTTCTCCAAGGACATCCCTCGTTCTGACATGTATTTAACATTTTCATCAAACATGTTATGAAGAAAGAAAAGTCATTATTACCTTTGTGGGCAATATGACACAGATCTTCTTGCATTTTGGAAAATTCCGACGAGGTTTCAGAGCCATCAGAATAATTTTTCTCTTCTCCAAAATCCAGCGTTGATAAATTAGGATTGGAAGAGTGCAATCTTAGTGGGCCGGACAAAGGCTTAGGGACCTAAAGTGACACCAAATGGAGATACTTCTTTTCAGTTGCAGATTACTCGGACTATTTACTTTGTTTTGAGTATGGAGAGTAGTAAGAGAAGGATACTGTGTAATTAAGGCTCCCTAAGAGTCTGTTCGAGTTGATGGCAAATAACAACAACATTGAGTGCTACCTATTTACAAAGCAAAGTAACAATGCAGGAAAACACTCACCAAAGCAACTTGCACTGGCTTTTTGAGAAATAAAAGTGGGTGAGAAATCATATATTCTTTTGGCAAGTACAGGAGCATTAAAGCTACAGGCTGAAAATGACTGCTACAGATACCTTTCTCATTTAATACTCAATTTCTTCCCTCTGGCAAAAATCATATAGAACAGTGACTTCTCACATATTTGTACATGAAATACTCTTCAATTTAAAACCAATCCATAAAGTGCTTTGAACCAAAGAGTATATCAGATTATTTATGTGAACGCTTACATTTAATTTTCACTCTGACAATGTTGCAACTGAACAGGTAAAGGCCAAGTTTCAAATCTTAGCCTCTGGCTTAGTTGGGCACTGGAAAAGACAGCTGCTTGCACGACACAGTGAACCTCTGGAGAGGGACCGGGAGGTTACAGACAGGAGGTAAAAGGGGATCTGCAGAACATCCTGCTTCCAGAGACTCAGGCCCATGGACTCTGAGGGATGACAAACCCGTTGACTATCAGCAGAAGAGGTGGGTCAGAGCACACAGCCATCGCAGCCACCAACCAGGCACATACCCAAGCAGGGAAGAAGGCAACTAGTCACCAGAGAAGGGAAAACAAAAAGTCCTACCAATGGCTGTAGCCTTCAGGTTCACACCATTCTTCTCTTAGAAAATCAGTTTCTCCCCAACCCAATATCCATGACATGCTTATTCTATTACCCAGAAACTCTAAGTGATGGAATTCATCTCTGCGCACAGGATGTTTATGAAGCATGGTCTATTCTCCTCTTGAGTAAAGTGAGCCCCCAGCACATGGCATGCAGAGCAAGGCCAATGAAGAAGCTAGTCTACTGGGGGAGCAATGGTTACCTGCAGCGTTCCTTTAGCATCTTTGCCAATAGCTCTGGACCGCCACCTCCTATGCGATCTTTTTTCCTTTTTGGGACTTTCAAAAGCTCCACCCTTTTTTCAAAACAGGAAAGAGAGCACAGACAGTAAGGTCCTCCAAACCAACAGGGATAAATGCATGCAAGGTGAGTATCTCCATTCCCTCAAGTTTGGTTGAAGCAACCAACCAGACCACATCCTGCTGTTAGTCAGAGGCTGGGGAGGAGAATGGAAAGCAGGAGAAGGCTAACATGCAAACAGAAAAGGGACCTGGCTGACCTGGATGGCGTTGATAGCTGGTGCTGAATACGTCCGGTGCAGAACGTCCATATTTTGTAGGAGCTGGCTCATTTCCACTAGATAGGTGTGACAGTGTGCCAAGTCTGCAGGAGAAAGAAAAGAGTGCTCATAACTCTAGGAAGATGCATGGACACTTATCATGGCATGCAGGCTTTACTATGTTGGATGCCAGCTACTTTTCTTATTTATCCATATTTGATTTTACATATTTAAGAATAGGAAAATTTACTTTCTTTTTTACTAAAGAAATATTATAGTGGTTAAAAGCATGGATCTGGATCCACATGGCCTCAGTTTAATGAGCTATGAATGTTGGGTGAATTAGATAGCTTCTCTGTGCCTCAGTTTCCTCATCTGGAAAATGGAGACATAGTGGAGCCTAGTTCACAGGATAGTTAGAAGAGTTAAATGAGCTGGTATACACAAAGTGCTTAGAAGAGTACGTGGCACACACTAAGTACTAAATAAATCAACTATCATCAGCATCATTGTGATTACTGATCTTGCAGCAATAGGCTGCCATTATTGCCTTCTATGGACCAATACATACTAAATGGATGCAACTAAAAGGAAGGTTGTATTGGTATCTAAGGATGCTATTGCCTATCATGGACCTGTAGGAGGAACTGGATGATTCTCTTGTTGTTGTTATGTGCCATCAAGTCGGACCCGACTCATAGCAACCCCTCCTTGGGTTGCCAAGGCAATATCACTCCGGAAGTAGATTGCCCAACCTTCCTTCTGAGGAGTGGCTGGTGGGTTTGAACTGCCAGCCTTCTGGTTAGCAGTCAAGTGCCTTACGCACTATGCTACCAGAGTTCCCAGATGATTCTCCATAGGGTTGCAAATTCACCTGACAGAACGTAAAACTATCCTGAGACCAGTTCCTAGCTCATTAACTCAAACGAGAGTCAATAATTTGCTATTCACTGGGCACATATGACTGTTTCTGCTGAGGGATCAAGGCCCAAATACCAAATTGGATCTAATACCAAACCAAACCCACTGCCATCGAGTTGATTCCAGTGGCATAGTTCCAGTATCACAGCGACATGCAAGCCACCACAGTATGACAAACTGATGGGACAAGTGGTGGTAGCAGCCTCAGAGGACAGACTAACACTGCCCAGAGGGTTTCCAAGGCTATAAATCTTAACTAAAGCAGACTGCCACATCTTTCTCCTGCAGAACAGCTGGGGATTCTAAAAGCCAACCTTACAGTTAGCATCCGAATCTTTATCACTGCAGCATTAGGACTCTTATGCCTTAGAAGAAATCAAAAAACCAAACTCACTGCCATCATTCCAACTCAGCAACCCTCACCTTTCTTCCCCAAAACAGCTAGTTGGTTTTAATCACCAATCTATTGATTAGCAGACAAATGCCTTAACCACTAAACCACCAGAACTCCTTATACTTTAGAATATCAAAATCAAACTCATTGCCATTGAGTCAACTCCGACTCATGTACTCCCACTGGGTTTCCAAGGCTATGAATGTTTATGGAAGCAGACTGCCTCATCCTTCTTCTGTGCAGCAGCTGGTAGGTTCAAACCACCAGTCTTCTGGTTAGCAGCCAAATGCCTTAACCACTATACTTCCAGAGCTCCTTATGCCTTCAATGGGAACTCTGGTGGCATAGTGCCCAAGGCACTTGACTGCTAACCAGAAGGCTAGCGGTTCTACCGACCAGTCAGATCAAAGAATAAAAAAAGCCTCACTGCTGTTGAGTCAAATCTAACTCATAGTGACCTCTCCTTGGGTTTCCAAGAAGGTATCTCTATGGTAGTAGATTGCCCAACCTTCCTTCTGAGGAGTGGCTGGGCAGGTCCTTCTGGTTAGCAGTCAAATGTCTTGGGCACTATACCACCAGAGCTCCCATGCCTTAGAATGTTGTTGTTGTTGTTGTTATGTGCCGTCGAGTCGGCCCCGACTCATAGCGACCCCTCCTTGGGTTTCCGAGGCAGTATCACTACAGAAGTAGGATTGCCCAACCTTCCTTCCAAGGAGTGGCTGGTGGGTTTGAACCGCCAGCCATCTGGTTAGCAGGCAAGTGTCTTAGCCACTATGCTACCAGAGCTCCTATGCCTTAGAATAGTGGCTGTCAAATTTCAGTATAGTCAAGAATCACATAGAAAACTTGTGGAACCACAGAACCCCGGGCTCCAGCCCCAGTTTCTGTGTCAGTATATCTGAGGGGAACCTGACAGTCTGCATTCCTAACAAGTTCACTGGTCATGGTGCTGCAGGGACCACACTTTGAGAACCATTGCTCCAACATGTCATTCAGTGAAGGACATGAGTAATAGTTACTAGGAGGGCAAAGCCCATATGGTCCTGTTGTTGTTGTTGTTAGTGTTGTCAAGTCGACTCATAGTGACCCCTCCTTGGGTTTCCAAGGCAGTATCACCACGGAAGTAGATTGCCCAATCTTCCTTCCGAGAAGTGGCTGGTGGGTTTGAACCCCCAACCCTCTGGTTAGCAGTCAAGTGCCTTAGGCACTATGCCACCAGAGCTCCCATATGACACTTTGTTGTTGTTGTTATGTGCCGTCGAGTTGGACCCGACTCATAGCGACCCCTCCTTGGGTTTCCGAGGCAGTATCACTACGGAAGTAGATTGCCCCATCTTCCTTCCGAGGAGTGTGGCTGGTGGGCTAGGTGTGATAATATTTGCATTTTATTCAACAGGAGAAAATGCAATTTTCAAGGCTACCATTTGGCATCTTTCTTCAAAACTTTGACTATACTTTAGAATTACTTGGAAAAAATTTAAAAGTTGTATGTGCCCAAGACCCACTCCAGACAATCAAATCAAAGCACTCCCCACCCCTACCGGTGATTTCCTTTTTTTCAGTTCCTCAGGTGATTCTCAGCTAATTAAAGTTGAGAACAGCTTAGCTTCATTATGACAGCTGTTCCCAATGCTGGCTCCATAAAAGAATCACCTGGGAAACTCTGGAAAATTAATGATGCCAGGGCTCCACCCCAGAACAACTTAAACAGATTCCTTGGGACAGGAGCCTGGGCCCAGGTATTTTAAAAACCTTTCCCGTGTTTTTAATGTGTAACCAGGGTTGGGAACACCTATTTTATGAGAAATCTTTCTTTGGTTTGCCCACTCACTTCTAAAATAGTAATTCTTTATCTAGGATGTGCACAAAAATCAGTCTGACACTTAAAATATATAGAGAGCTGTCCAGACCCCACCTCTGGAGATTGGGATTTAGTAGTCCCATGTGGAAATCAGACATTAGAAAAAGAAAAGAATTAAAAAGAAGAGAAAGGAAAAGCTCTCCAACACACACATCCAGTGGGTGGCATAAAGTTCTACAACCAGTGTCTTTTGTTGATTGTGAGTTCAACCTTAATAAAGGAAAATAATGAGTAGGAATGTCAATGAAAGGAGATAAAGAACACAAATTCATTTATGGTGCAAGAACCAAGCCAGTCAGTACAGTTCAAGAGCTTTGAGAGAAAGCACAGTTTCAGGTCACTCTACCTTTTGAGCATTTTTCCATGTCCTCTGAAGACTGTAACCACAATGGAACTCGTGTCTCCCCACCACAAGAAAATGACAAATTGCTTCCGGTTTGAAATGAATTCTGCTTTGATATACTGCTGCGCTGTTCCACAGACAATGAAAGTACATTACAAATGAAAACAGGGTCCACAGGGAATACTTGAGTGTAAAGATAACAAAGTAGCCCTCTGCTTCTATGAGGAAGAAGGCTCTGGCAAGGCACTCTGCAGGAAACCCTACAGTCTCAGGCTGTCACCCCAGCTTAGCCACACCACGCTATAAGGCCTTGGACTGCATCCTTATTTTCTTCTCTGTCAAATGGTAATAATACCAAATCAATGATATAATTGGTTGAAAATATTTTACAATCCTACCTGATTATAAATGCACTTATTGCACTTTACAACAGAAAAAAAAACCATGCTCAAACTGGGCAAGGGAAAGCTAGAGCATCTGGGACATTAGAGTTCTCCTTGAACGCTATTCTTCAGTTGCTGGCCTACTTTATATATTGTGGTAGTTAAGTCTGTGTGTCAGCTTGGCTGTGTCTGGCTGTGTCAGCCTGGTTGAGTGGCTGGGCAGCTGGATATAGTTATTCCCCATGGTGAGACTGGTAATTGACTCCATATGGAATTTACTGGAGCAGCTGATTAGCTGGTTTAGGGATGTGGGCCGCTTCCAGTACATAAGAAGCAACTTTGAGGAAGGTCTCCAGTTGATGGCATGCTTGCACCCTGCATGTAGCTGAGACATTGTTCAGCAGCCTGCCATGTTGCCTTGCTGATTTTGGGACTTTTAATGGACTCGAATTAATGGTAATATGGGGATTGAGCCTTTTCACTTGTTGACCCTGGGTTTGTAAGCCTCAGCAGCTAGCACCTGCCTGAGTGAAGAGATTCCTCTTGCTTCAGTGGCCAGGAGCAAGAAGCAGAGCTGAAGCCCAAGGTTGAGGAGCTTTTACCCAGTTTCCAGAGACTGGCACCTGGAACTTGGACTTCTAACCTCCAAAGTTTTAAGAGAATAAATTCCTATTTGTTAAAGCCATCCCATTTAGGGTATATTGCTGTCAGAGTGGAACTAGGTAATAAAAACATATGCTCACGTGGTCCTGGTTCTGACTAATTGGGCAAACATAACTAATTATTAAATACCAGCTCAAAGCTTTCACTGCTCCTCCCCCAAAACCTTTCCCTCCTCAGACAGCCTCCCAGTGAAGCTCCCCAACACAATGCCAGCCACTCCTTTTAGATTCATAACTGGCAAAACTCTGGTTACCTTCCTACTTGAAACCGAGTCAAACACCCCAGATGCAGACTCTGTGACAGTGGATCCTGAGAAAAAGTGATTGACGTCACGTGGAAACATGGCGATTTCATTTTGACGATACATTCTGTGATGACGGAGTTTGGATACCCACTCATCAAAGCCATCTTCTGACTTCACCTAAAATGTGTCAAATGGAAAAGAGGAAACAAGAACATGAATCACTGAAAGGAACAATTATTCATCAAACTGAGGTCACTCCTGAGCCCGTCTTTGCATGCTGGCACATGGGCTGTTGTTTGCTGCTGTAGTTGGCCCTGACTTATGGTGTACAACAGAAAGAAATCCGGCATGGTCCTTCACCATCATCACAACTGTTGGTATGCTTGAGTGCATTGTTGTGGCACTGTGCATTCTGAGTACCTTTCAACATAGAGGCCTCATCTTCTGCCACTGTATCAGGTGTGTATCACTATACATGTATCACTATATCAGATGAGATTCTGTTGTGATCCATAGGGTTTCCACAGGCTCATTTTTGGAAGAAGATTGCCCGGCCTTTCTAGCTTGTCTTAGTCTAGGAATGCCACCGAAACCTGTAACCCTGTTGGTATTTGAAATACTGGTAGCAAAGCTTCCAGAATCACAGCCAACATGCAAGCCACTGTAGTACAACAAATTGACAAATGGGTTGTGGTTGGCACATGTAGAAATCAGGGTTTCGAACCGCTGCATTCCAGTTCAACCCACCTGCTGAAAATTTGCATTTCCATCCGATATTCTGAATCAGAATCTATAATTTCACAAAATCCCACGGTGATTCTTATGTATACACCTGGGGATCTATAAAAATAACACGAGGATCTTGTTAAAATGTTTCTGGATCAGTATATCTTGGGTGGCAATGACAATTCTCAGCAAGGGGATGAACCAGTTCAAAGCCTTGCTTGTTTTACAGTTATGTGGTCTATATGGGGGAAAGTGTGAGGAGAAAGTGAAAAGTAAAATGGTCTTTTTCATTAAGTATATATTTATGCTATCTACATAAAGGAACAATTGTTATGCTATTTTTAGGAAGGCAAAAGGTACTAGTTATATTAACAGATAAACTGAAATTTATTCTTATCTTTCTCTTGAAGTATTTCAAGTTCTCTGGTCTCAACTTCTATCCCTACAGGAAATATTAACACCATTTTTCTTTTTAAACTCTTTAATAATTCAAACTTTACATATTAATCTTTTCTGAACTGGAATGAATTAGTAAATTTTTCCTGAACTATTTAACCTCGTTAACCCTCTGCAACAAAGAATACATTGTGAAGAATACACACTAATGAATGTGAAGGTTATTTAAAAATATATTTCTCCTGCTCTTAGAAATAGAAGTAGAAAAAAAAAAATCTGAGACAACATTATGTGGTAGTTAATTTTATGTGTTAACTTGGCTGGGCTTGGTTTTGAGTGGTCAGGCAGCTGTCTGTAGTTATTCCCCAGGATAGGACTGGTAATCAACTCCATAGTGGAATCTGCTATAAGCAAATGAGTAGCTGCCTTAGGGATGTGGTCTGCTTCCAGTATATAAGAAGAAGCTTTGAGAAGCATCTCTGAGCTTTTCATATACTTGGACCCTGCATGTAGCTGAATCTTCATGCAGCAGCCTGCCATGTTGCTTGCCAATTTTGGACTATTTCTGAACTTGAACTAGTGGCCTGCCATGCTGCTTGATAATTTTGGGACTGTGCCATTTTACTTGTCAACCTTGGGTCTATCAGGCTCAGCAGTCAGCAGCTGCCCGAGTTAAGAGATGCCTCCAGCTCCAGTGGACTGGGAGCAAGAGGCAGAGCTGAAGCCCAAGGTTGAGAGGCCTTAACCCAGCCCCTACAGCTGGCACTTTGAACTCAGACTTCTAACCTCCTAAACTGTAAGAGAATAAATCCCCCTTTGTTAAAGTCATATTTGTCATATTTTCTGTTAGAGCACCACTAGAACCAAAACACATAACCAGTGATTTCTAGGATTTCTCATACACACACACACAAACATTTAGCTAGCTGGGTGATGTGGTAGTTATGTTTGTGTGTCAACTTGGCTGGGTCTGCTTGAGTGGCTGGGCAGCTGGTGGTAGTTATTCCCCATGATGAGACTGGCAATCAACTCCATGGTAGGATCTACCACAAAAAGCTGAGTACCTGCCTTTGGGATGTGGTCTGTTTCCCATATATAATATGCAGCAGCTTTGGGAATGGTCTCTAGCTTATGGCACTCTTGGACCCTGCATGTAGCCGTGTCATTGTTCAGCAGCCTGCCATGCTCTGCCAACCTTGGGACTTACAATGGACCTAAGTTAATGGCCTGCCGTGTGGTGTGGCAACATCGGAACTGTGTCTTTTTACTTGTCAACCTTGGGCTTCTCAGCCTCAGCAGCCAGCAGCTGTCTGAGTGAAAAACCACCTCTAGCTCCAGTGAGCTGGGAGCAGGAGGCAGAGATGGACTCTAAGGTTGAGGTGCTTTCACCTAGCCCCTAGAGGCTGGCACTTTGAACTTGGACTTAAAACCTCCAAACTGTAAGAGAATAAACTCCTGTTTATTAAAGCCATCCCATTTGTGGTATATTCCTGTCAGAGCAGCACTAGGTAACCAGAACAGATGATTATCAATATCTAATAACCATGAAGAAGAATGTTTGTAACTAGTAAAACCATTGTAAAATATTTCAAACATTCATAAAAATGCTAAAAAGCATAAGCACCTATATACCATGGACATTTCTTAAGAGTCAACATTTTTTATGTGTATGAGTGTCTACCAATATTTTCAAAGTGAAAAAATGAGATACCTATATATTATGAGAGACACACACACACACAAAGCCAGCTGTCATCAAGTCAATTCTGACTCACAGCGACCCCAAGTGTGCAGAGTAGAACTGGTCCACAGCATTTCCAAAATGCCTCCCAGTGGGTTTGAACTGCTAACCTCTCAGTTAATAGTGGAGCTCTTAACCATTTACATCAACCAGAGACTCCTATGTTAAGAGGCTGACTCATGAAGCTGCAATTTAAAACACCCTGAAAGGATGCATGGTAGATTAACTTTTAAGAAGACAAATACAGGGCAATCTTGTTAAACTTTTTACTAACATTACAGCTGAGAGCAAGAATGCAGAAATAAATGTCAGTGGTATCATTCATTTAGGAAATATTACATGGGCACCTATGTTTGTTTTGTTGATTAATACAGAAGTACATACAAGACTTAAAACTGTCCAGGTAGTACTTAATGTATCATTTACCAGAAGATGCAATAAAACAGACACATCTATTTGTCTCCCTAAATTACATTCTGGATATGTATTTTATTTTCCAGATGTCGTTAATCAGAATTTTATAGGAATCTTGACACAAACTGATTGTGTAATCCTTTACACTAACAGGAATGCTCCTTGGAAGCCAGAATGGCCAGACTTCATCTCTTATGCTTTTTTCATGTTATCAGAAGGAACCAGTCCCTTTATCATGCTTGGTAAAGTCTAGGGTCAGAGAAAAAGGGGATGACCCTCATCGAGATCGATTGCCACAGTGGCTGCAACAATGGGCTCAAACATAACAGTTGTGAGGATGGTGTAGGGTAGGGTAGCGTTTCATTCTGTTGTACACAGGGTCACTAGGAGTAAGAACCAACTCAATGGCACCGATCGACAACAATCTCCAAAACCAAAACCCACTGCCTTTGAGTTGATTGATCCCTAGTGAACCTATAGGACAAACCAGGCCTGCCACATAGGGTTTCCAAGACTATCAATCTTTACAGAAGCATATTGCCACATCTTTCTTCCAGAGAGTGGCTGGTGGGTCCAAAACACCAACCCTGTGGTTAGCCATTGAGTGCTTTAACCACTGCACCACCAGGGCTCCTTAACCTCATCTCAGAGGCTGAAGGCTGAAGGAACACTCATCTTGACTCTTTTTTATCGGTTAAACAAGGTAGAAAAATCAAAGCACTTTATTAAGTAAACGACTATAGTCATTGTCCCAGATCCTTATCTAATTATAGGACTATAGACTATAGACTACAACTGTAACTATAGACCGGAGACTGTAACTGTAGTTATAGGGCACTTAACCTCTCTGCTGCCCAGGCTTCTCATCCATAAAATAAGAAAATAGGGATAGACTGTTCAGAATTTAAAAAATTTTGTGACTCTGGGGCTATTAACAAGAACTCTCAGATAACAATACTCACTTATACTTAATCATAGCTGATGTTCAAAAGCATGAACAAAAAACATAAATAGAACTTAAAGTGAGTCAAAAGAGAGAAATATTAAACTAAATTTATTAAGATATTAGGATGCAATATATTTTAAAGCATTCAAGTTTGTATTTTTTTTTTAATTAGGAATTAATCATTAACATAATCCTCTTAACTGATACAGTTGATAAATGAGAAACCAACATTTCCTGACTATGTCAGAAAACAGAACCAAGAGTCATTGGAAGTAAGCGGAGAAATAAACTAGTCCAGAGGAGACTGACCATTGAAACAAGTAGAAGTAGGCTCCTTAAATCTTTTTTGACTAATGTAAATTAGTCATTCTCAACCAGGGGTGATTTTGCCATCAAGGAATATGTGGCAATGTCTGTAGACATTTTTGGTTGTCATAACTGGGGAGGAGGGTATTATTGGAATCTAGTGGGTAGAGACCAGGGATGCTGCTAATCTTCCTGTAATGGATAGAATGGACTCACACAACAAAGAAATAGCCAGTGCAAAATGCCAGTAATGCTGAGGCTGAGAGACTCTGCTTTACACAATAAACTACAACCACAGGTACAGAGACTGAAGTTAGGAAACTGTCTTGCCCAGCCAATCACCCACATGTATGTGTTAAGCAAGTACTGCACACATGCTGTGGACTGGACAAGGACACATTAAGACAGGGAGCTCATAAACTCATGATTTTATTTTCCCAACCCTCAGGCTCCACTTCCAATTGCCCCAAGTAATTTGTCTTTACAATTCTCTAGAATGGAATCTTAATATCTTCTCTATTAATTTTGTTTTTTTTAAAAATTAGGTTCCCATTTGGTAATTTCTATACAAATTGTTTAGCAACATTAGTTACATTTTTCACAATGTGTCAATATTCTCTTTAATTGTGTTCTGGTTGTTCCATTTCCAGTTTCATTGTTTAACATTCAATTGCCACCTAATAATCATATATAATAACTCAATTTATTGACCTCACTGTCTACAGGCATTATGCCTAGTTCTCTCTGTGTTGCTCTGCATGGTTAGCAATATAATTATTCCCCTTTGTTAGGTGAGAAAGCTGAGACTTTTAGAAATTAAATAATTTGTCAAAGGTCAACAGCCAGTAAAAAGGCAATTTAAGATCTGAACTAGACTGGTATTTCCAAAGCTCATGTTTCATGCTATTAACTGTCTATATGGGAGATCTGGTGGCGTAGTGCCTAAGACATCTGACTGCTAATCAGAAGGCTGGAAGTTCAAACCCACCAGCTACTCCTTGGAAGGAAGATTGGGCAATCTACTTCCATAGTGATACCGCCTTGGAAACCCAAGGAGGGGTTGCTATGAGTCAGATTCGACTTGAAGGCAATGCTTTTTTTTTTTTTTTTAAAACATCACCAAGGAGCCCTGGTTGCACAGTGGTTAAGTGCTTGGCTGCTTAATGAAAGGTTGGCAGTTTGAACCTACCAACCACTCTGTGGGAGAAAGAAGTGGCAGTCTGCTTCTGTAAAGATTTACAGCCTTTGGAAACCCTATGAGGACAGTCCTACTGTAGTCTATAAGGTCATTCTAGTTGGAATAGATTTGATGCCCCACCACCTAACACCACCACCACCTGTGGGAGACAGAGAGCACCAGAGGGTAAACAGCTGTCAGACGCAGGGCTTCTAACCGCTTCATTCTGGTTCACCCTGCTGAGAATCTGTCTTTTACCCCAGATATACTGAATCAGATTCTGCATTTTAACAAGTTCCCCAAGTGATTCTTATTGGAGTCCTGATAGAAATGTACAAATATCATCTTATTGACTTGTTTTCATGGCTTCCAATCAGTTCATTCCAGTTCAACCCTCCTGCTGAGAATTTGTTTTTTCCACCCCAAATATAATGAAGCAGAATCTACATTCTAACAAGATCCCTAAATGACTCTCGTATATCTCCAGGTGACTCTTACAGAGCTTGTTAAAATGTAAATTTGGATTCAGTATATGTGGGAAGACAGCTAAATTCTAAGCAGGGGGGGTCGAACCAGAATGAACCGGTTTGAAGCCCTACTGAACACTATTATCCGGAGACCCATGATTTAGGAAAAATATTTCTGACATTTCATTGTAATAAATAAGAATCTTAATGAAATCCCTATAAAACTAGCTGGAGGTGTAAGACAGGGCTCTGCAGACTCAATGTAATAAACATTATATTGTGAATGACAGAACAAACTTTAACCTAAGGTAAATGGTTCTTAACCAAGGATGTTACTGCCTAGGGGAGAGGTAGGTTGGAAAAAGAATATATTTTATTATATATTTTTATCACAATCACCGGGGGAGTTGTTGTTGTTATGTGCCGTTGAGTTGGACCAACTCATAGTGACCCCTCCTTGGGTTTCCGAGGCAGTATCACTATGGAAGTAGATTGTGCTGTTGATATTTAGGGGATGCAGGGACAGCGATACTAAACCTTCAGCAATGTGAAAGACACAATGAAGAACCATCCCATCCAAATATCAGTAGTGTCCATTAACAAACACTGGTAATGAAGATCTTCTCACACATTCACTATTTGAAAATAGTCAAAAGGCATCACGAATAGCTTCAAAATGGCAATGAGGTCCATATGGATGGCTTGTCCTGACCTGATACAGTAATTGATGGCTCCTGCTCAATACAAACAGAAATCAGCACCATGGGAGACAGCACCTAGGAAACAACCTCACCTTCAGATGGTAGATGTGCTCCTCGGTATCAAGATCAATGCACTTTGATGACTTCTTTACAGACATCACTGAGAGCCCGACATCAATGCAACCATGCAGCTTCTCTCTCTCTATCTACAGAGGCACCAAGAGGGCTACTTGAGAATCATGGTGTTAAAAATAATAGTAACATCCTTGATACTCCTATTCTCTACCCTTGCCTTCCACATCCACCAACAGTAAACATATTAACTATGATTCATCAAGCACTTAGTGTGAACCAGTACTACAATGAGTGCTGTACATGCATTATCTTATTTAATCTGTGAAGTAGGAAGCCTTATCCCCATTTTACAGATGAAAACACCAAAGTACAGAGAAACCAAGTAACAAGGAGTTTATATAGCCTGAGGAAATCAGAGCATGAACCTATGCAGTATGGGGTCAATGGCAGTGAAAAAATACTGCCTCCCACTGAATTAGTTTCTGGTGTCTAAATTCATGTGACATCATTTAAAAAGAAGAACATGAGCTGAAGAGTTAAGAGAAGCTAGAAGAGGAAGAAAGGGAGAGAGAAGTACTGACTGAGAGAAGGGCTCCTATAAGGTATAGCACTGACCGCCAATCACAGCCCTCACAGGCTGACTGTCTGGTCTTAATGAGGGGAACCCTATATCACTTTCACCCAAGGCCTTCTCCATCAAATCCCTCAGTCACTACAAAGTGACAGTGACATTGTTGCATGTTATGTTTTTGCTAGTAAGCTGTGAGGATGTCTTCTCTCAACCAGAGAAACCCTCAGCACAACCCTAGGACCAGAGAGACCCTTAGATACCTTGCGGGATCTTGGAAGGAGCACCTGTACCTCACTTGGTGGATGAAGTAAGCCCAACTAGAATCCAGAGCTAGGACAACAGAGAGCAGGCACTGCTAGTCCACATGAAGAAACTATCAGAAAGGTAACCCCAAAATGTACATAATCTCATCCCTGAGCTGACAACAATTAGCCCCTCAGAATTTTTCAAGAGTCAACTGGATAACCAAGAAGACTTACATCAGTTTGGCTCTTGGCATATTTCAATATTCCTTTGTCCAGATAGAAGAATCTCTGTAGGGAAGAAAATTCCACATATTAAGATGTTCCACATAAATAAATGGCTTTCCCTTGGTCTCAAATTTCAACCTCAAATTAAATATAAGTGCCTAAGAACCAGGTACTAACTGTGGTAACACAGGTGCAAATAAAGGCAGGCCAATGTCTCACCTTGTGCCAGCCCTTTAAGGGCCATTTCCTCTTTTTCAGCAGGAATCCTTTCTGAATTGGTGGCTCTTGAGTGTAATTCATCTCTCCCTTCAGTCCTTCTACCACTTCCCAGCTGTCCTGTTCCAAAAAAAAAAAAAAAAAAGTTCATACTAAATGGCTATTTTTAAAACAATAATAATGTTAAGAACCACTTCAATCTAACAGTAAATCCATCCAAGATAGTAAGTCTGGCTGGCTTTGTTGGGGAGAAAAAATATTAAATTTTCATATAGAACCCAGACTTTATAGATTTCATGTTATAATTTAGTGGCATCAAATTTATTATTTTTTCCCCCAAAAGATCTCTGTTAGTAGGAAATGTTTCTCCCTCTTTAGTGCTGAGACCTTGACAACCAGAGCTAAAGATAGAGTTATACCATAAGTTCTATTTTTGTTCCCTTTGACATCATCATGGTAGTTACTGTTCACTCACCACTAAACTTCAATCTGAATTTTAACCAAATGCTACAAACATCAGGATGGAAGCTGAGTGTCAGCGATGGGGTGGGGGAGGTGGGGGTAAGGAGAGGTACTTAAGAATTGGCTGAAAATATGAGAGTGAATGCAAGTTAGTCAACATGACAACTTGATCAAAATACTAGTTGAACATGAATATCTTCAAATTCTAGGTTATTTAAATATTAGAAATCATGAAACATCAAATGGGTGAGGTTTTTTTTTAATTTTTACTGTGATTTGGGTGAAAGTTTATAGAGCAAATTCATTTTCCATACAGCAGTTCACATACATTTTGTCTCATGACATTGACTACAATTTACCACAATGCAACAGCTCTCTTCCCACTTCCTCCCCATAGTCACCTCTTCCCTGTGTCCTTCCCTCCCATGCACTCCTGCCCCCCAGTCTCCCTGTGCATACACAGCCCTTCTATTGTCCCATGATTGATCTCTCCAAGGAGTGTATCTACCTAATGTAAATGTTCAGCTCATATGTCTGTCTTTTGTTTGGCTGGCAGCCACAGGAGTGGGTTCAATACCAGACCTGAAGGGCAGCTAGGAGCCATAGTCTCAGGGGTTCCATCAGACTCTATGAGACCAGCAAACCTGGTCCCTTTTTTTTTTTTAATGTAATTTTGAGTTTTACTCCACATTGTTCTCCCACTGTATCCAGGATCTCCTACATAGATCCCCTTCCAAGTGGTTGACAGTAGTAGCCAGGCACCATCTAGTTCTTCTGGTCTCACAATCATATAGGCTGAGGACTGCATGGTGTACCAATCCCTTGGACTAATTGTTTCCATGCTCTTTGGTTTTCTTCATTCTTCTGTGCTCTGGACAAGGAGAGACCCATTGTTGCATCTAGATGGCTGCTTACAAGCTTTTAAGATTCCAGTCACTACTCACCAAAGTAGGATGTGGAAAAATGTTTTTGTGTAGTATGTTTTGCCAATTGAGCTTTAGGTCCCTTGTGACCATGGGCCCAAGCCCACAAGTTCATCTACTCACTCCCTCCAGGTAGCTGGCTGTGGCCAAGAAGTCATCACAACCTTGTTCCTTGTCAGTTCTACTATATACCTGGAAATTCTTACAGAACATACAAATACACTTGCAGAAACATTGTCTGCCAACTCAAAAGGGTGGTTTCACAACAATCATTTTCATTCTTTTTTTCTCCCATTTCTTATGTTTCACAAACTTTTTTTTTTTTTGCCAGTTATTATTTATTGAGGTTGTTTGTAATTTTGAACAGATGAAACAGTTGCTACAAGTAATTTCAGTTGCTGGCTCTCTAGGTCTTTTCAAGTGGCTGACTGAAGAAAGAATTTAAAAGTAAAAAGGAAACTAATATAACCGCTAATGTAAAGGTATGGTGGAACAGGCTTTTGCAAGGACAAATACAACTTCACTTTTGCTTGCTTAGTCACTCTTATGTAACACTTACTAGGGTGGCCTTGGAGGTTTGGGGCCCTGGCATCATGCCACCTTTTGTTACCAGACCTTCAGGGGGCACAGAGACTTGAGTTGACTCTACTGCCACCCAGGGACCAGTCTTGGTCAGTAAGCCTTAAATAAACAACTTTACTAGCACCTATGGAGTTGCCAGTCTTCATCTCAGTCTTACAGAATCTTGGACAAATCTGAAGTTACTGGACTGTGCCCAAGGTTGGGATAGGAAGGGAAAGTGGGAGTGCTGCATAAGAAACAGTGAGCTTCTATTAATGGTGATGGGAAATTTGGCAATGATTATGGGTGATAGTTGCATAACATGATTAATGTAATTGATATCACTAAATTGTACACTTGAAAAACATTGAACTGACAAATGTTGTTACATGTATTTTTAAAATTATAAAAGAAATGGAAAAAATTTTATTAAGATATAACATACATGAAATGCCAAATCTTAACAGTACAACTTAATTCATTTTTACACATATATACTCCTTAACTACTATCCAGAGCAAGACATAACATAGGGTAATTAAATTTTGACAAACATATCACTTTAGCCAAGATTTCATCTTGACTGTCTTGTTATTGTTAGGTGCCATCAAGTCAGCTCCAACTCCTAGCGACCCTTTGTACAACAGAATGAAACACCTCCCGGTCCTGCACCATCCTCAAAATCTTTGTTTACTTGAGTCCACCATTGCAGCCACTGTGTCAACCCATCTGCTGAGGGTCTTCCCCTTCTTCACTGACCCTCTACTTTACCAAGCATGATATCCTTCTCCAGGGACTGGTCCCTTCTGACAATATGATCAGAGTAGGCGAGACAAGTCTGGTCACTCTCATTTCTAAGGAGCATTCCGGCTCCACTTCTTCCAGGACAGATTTATTTGTTCTTCCAGTAGTTTATGACATTTTCAGTATTCTTCACCAACACTACAATTCAAAGGCATCAACTCTTCTGTGATATTCCTTATTCATTGTCCAGCTTTCACATGCATATGAGGCGACTGAAAATACCATGGCTTGGGTCAGGTGTACCTCAGTCTTCAAAGTGACGTCTTTGCTTTCTAACACTTTAAAGAGGTCTTTTGCAGCAGATTTTCCCAGTGTAATACAATGTCCGATTTCCTGACTGCTGCTCCCATGGGTGTTGACTGTGAATCCAAATGAAATGAAATCCCTGACAACCTCTATCTTTTCTCCATTTATCATGATGTAGTTTATTGGTCCAGTTATAAGGGACTGTCTTGCTCTTAGCCAAATCTACAACCTGAAGGCAGGTGGTTCAGGCAGAGGCCAGAGGCACTGAGATACAGACAATAAGTCTAGCTGCACCAGAGAGAGAAAGGCAATGAAACTCAAGTCCCAGGACAGACCGTCTGACAGTGAGGGCATGGGATCTGCGGGGATTTATGGGTGCTCCAGCTGGGCTTCTGTGTTGTTCTTGAGTTCAATACATCAGACACACCTGGTAACAAGACCTTTTCCTAGTTTAGCAACTGAAATCTTTTTATGAGGATCCTGACAGATCTGCCTCAGATATGAATTTACTTTACTGTGAATAGCATTAAAAGTACATTCCAGAGTTTTGAAATGGGGGTGGAACTCAAATACCTGGAGTTGTAAAAGGGGTTTTTTCAGTGGAAGAAAAGCTGAACTTGGAAAAAAGATTTAGCTTTCAAATTAGGGGATTTTCCACAGAAACGTAGCAATACTGAGTGAAATTTATTTATAGTAATTATTGTCAATTATTCAAACTCACTTGATCACCTCCAGACAATTAATAGAGAGTACATATTATTAAGTTGTGAGAGTACAAACAAAAAAAATTTCTGCTCATATTTATTTAATCTCTGAAAGTCTTTCCTCAAAACATAATGTTTTACATGTCTAAATTTTAATGACTCTTTAAGGTAATTAAGTATAACACATTCCTCCATGAATCTTTCTTCAAAGGAAAATATTATCTCATCTTACCTTTTCCAGCGGCTCATCATTTATTTATAATATATGTGAGGTATTATCTTCCCTACTGGACAATAGGGGGGAGCTCTGGTAGTATAGTGCCTAAGGTACTTGATTGCTAACCAGAAGGCTGGTGGTTCAAACCCACCAGCCACTCCTTGGAAGGGAGATGGGGCAATCTACTTCCGTAGTGATACTGCCTCGGAAACCCAAGGAGGGGTCGCTATGAGTCGGGTCCGACTCGACGGCACATAACAACAACAACAACAACTGGACGATAGGCTCCTTGAGGATATAAAGGGTCATGTTCATTTCTGATTTCTTAAAAACGTTTAACTGCTGTCATGTGAATATTATGCATCCTATTGGCAAATGAACAAACTTAATCCTGGTAGAAGGTTGTAGAAAGATTTATGTTCTTGGAATACCATACTGTCTCTGGGCCAAATCATCATTTAAAAGTTAAATGCAACTTTAGGGTGCAGGGAGTATATGTTAATGGGAAAGATACAACTCAGAAAAGGTGGGTGAGAATGGTTGCATAACTTGACGAATGTAATCAATGTCATCGAACGGTAAATGCAGAAACTTGGATCAATATATGTTTTTGCTGTGTATCTTCTCAACAATAACAAAATTAAAGTAATTAATTTAAATTGTTATTATTTAAATTAAATGCAATATAGCTATGCTTTGGAGTGGGGTGGGGAGTGCTGTTGTCACTGTTAAATTAAAATCCAAGGCTGGAAATCCTCTGGAAAGTAGTCTTAGTAGATGAGGCCTTTTCAATTTGTTTGTTTTATGATTCCCAAGCAGAAGGCAACCTGCAGAGTGCCAACACTAGACAACCATGTCAATTCACTCACTACATTCAGTTGCCCACAATGCAAATACCAAGTGGGATTAGATGCTACTGCATATTTTATAAAACTGGGGGAGTGGGAGGGATTGCAATCATACCTGCAGTACAAAAGAAAACAAGAGTGAAATCTCAAAAGCATTCCAGGGATTCATGCTAGAAGTATATATCTCCTGAACTCTTGAGAGACAGTACATTCCTACCAACAAGCCAAGGTGGAGGGCAGGGAATGAGAGTGGGTCTTTTTGGCCCTTAAGGTAAATAAGCCAAAAAGTGTTTGTATTTTTCCCTACAAAATATGCCCTCTTACCCTGTCCTGCTCCTTTTTATCTTGTAGCTGT